GGAGGGAGGGAGGAAGGAAGGAAGGAAGGAAGGAAGGAAGGAAGGAAAAAGAAAGGAAAGGAAGGACCAAGAAGAAGGAAAGCAAGAGATCTTTCTCGCTATAGATGTGTCTATCTGAGCCATATAGAAAGAAAGAAAGAAAGAAAGAAAGAAAGAAAGAAAGAAAGAAAGAAAGAAAGAAAGAAAGAAAGGGAGGGAGGGAGAGAGAAAAGAAAGAGAAAGGAAGGGAGGAAGGAAAAAGGAAGGACCCAAAAGGAAAGGAAGAGTTCTTTCTCACTATAGATGCATCTATCTGAGCCAAACAGAAAGAAAGAAAAGAAAGAGGGAGGGAGAGAGAGAGAGAAAAGAAAGAGGAAGGAAGGAAGGAAGGAAGGAAGGAAGGAAGGAAGGAAGGAAGGAAAGAGTTACTTAACAATCATCATGTTTATTGCCAATGCACAACATGTGTACAATGAAATTGAAAATATATCTCACTTAGCAACATAAATTTTGGGCTCAGTTGTGGTCATCAGTCGAGGACTACCTGTGTTAGTTCCAAGGAGGAACTTCCTAACAGTGGGAACAATTAACCGGTGGAACAACCTGCCTCTGGAGGTTGTGGGTGCTCCATCACTGGAGGTTTTTAAGACGAGATTGGACAGCCACTTGTCTGAAATGGGGTCTCCTGATTAAGCGGCGGGTTGGACTAGAAGACCTCCGAGGTCCTTTCTAAGCCCTCAGAGGCTCTCATTAGCAAGTTGTCCATGGGTGAGGGATCCATTCCCTGAAATGGTGCCAAACCATGACTGGAATTCTAAACTGAGACTGGACACCCATGTCTTCCTCACCTCCTTTCTCCTTCGTCCTTCTATTATTGCCTTTTCTGCATCAGAAGGTCCCCAACCTGGTGCTCCCAGCCTATGCTGGCTTAGATTCAGGTCTGCTGCGAAGAGCAGCTGTTAAGCCAGCATCTGTGGAGGATGCCATTTTTGTTCTCAGCACGTCTTTTCCTATCCTTGTTCCCATTTATCATTTCACTGTATGGACTGGCCTATTTTTAAGGGAATAAAGAGTGCCAACGATGTGAAACACCCAACGCCTGGGGCACATTTGGGCTGAATGGAGGTTAAACCCATGTTCAGTTCAGGCTTGTAAATCAGTGTTTCTCAACCTCGGCAGCTTGAAGATACGTGGACTTCAACTCCCAGGAATTCTGGGAGTTGAAGTCCCACGTATCTTCAAGCTGCCATGGTTCAGAGACATTGATGTAAACCTGGAATAAAGATTTCAAAATCTGCCTTATTCCAGAATTATAACCCTCTGGAATCAGCACAGGGAAGAATATTGTCTAGGCACTTCAAAGCTTCAGAACTGCGTCATGACCCCAAAAATTCAGGATAAGGTCACTTGCAAGCTATGTTTATACTCGGCTATAGGAAAGATGGCATCATCTTCCAAGGCTTTGGTGCGATGGCTGGTTTGGTTTAATGGTTAAGCCACCAGGCTAGAAGGAGACTATGAATTCTAGTCCCACCTTAGACATGAAAGCCAATTGGGTGATTTTTGGGCCAATTGACAGAAGGAGGATGAATTCTAGTCCCACCTTAGACATGAAAGCCAATTGGGTGATTTTTGGGCCAATTGACAGAAGGAGGATGAATTCTAGTCCCGCCTTAGACATGAAAGCCAGCTGGGTGACTTTGGGCCAATCACCAGGAGAGGGTGAGTTCTAGTCCCACCTTAGGCAGGAAAGCCGGCTGGGTGACTTTGGGCCAATCACCAGGAGAGGGTGAGTTCTAGTCCCACCTTAGGCAGGAAAGCCAACTGGGTGACTTTGGGCCAATCACCAGGAGAGGATGAGTTCTAGTCCCACCTTAGGCAGGAAAGCCGGCTGGGTGACTTTG